TCCGTCTGCCATATTCACCACGACCTACAAAAAAAAAAAATAAATATTAAAACAAAAATATGTCAGAAGATACTGAAAATCATTTCGAGGCACAAATTCTCATACCTCCGTAGCCTCCACCATGCCTATCGTAACCACCTCCGTAGCCGCCGTAATTTGCCCCTGCTCCGTAATATCCACCGCCACGGAATTCAGCGCGAGGGCCATACAACTTCCTCCTTAATTCACGAGAAATCTGTTTTAAATGCATAAAATTGCAGAACGCCCCCTTGTTACAGCCTCCTAATTCATACTGCCGACAACATGCCTCTCTGAAGTCGGTAACAGGTGAAAGTTCTGCGTATATGGGGCTACCATTAAACCTGAAATTAATTACTGCACTCAAATTTCCAGTTCAGCGAATGTGATAAAACGGTCCGTAGAATAGACTCACCATCTGTTTTCTAAACCCTTTACGCATTTATCTGCATCTTCTTCGTTCTCGAATTTTACATAAACATTTCCAATCATGTGTTCTCCAATATTGTCACAAACATTCATTTCATCGATAGGGCCATATCGATCTTCTAATTCAACAAAAATTTCTTCAAAGAATTCTTCAAAATATTCCTGTTCCTCCTTGTTTTGTTGCCCAACCTAGAAGAAGAAAAAAATTTATGAGAGGTTTCCAAGTAACTAATTCCTACCTCTGAACTGATAAATGCTCCTTATCCACGGAATGCCAATCTGCTTCACCGCCGAGCAAAAAATGGCCCAGCAAATCAAACCAAGAAGAACAACTGACAACAGACAAAAACAGGTATTCTTAACAAAACAAAATTACTTCTAAACACAAAAAATTCTAAAGAAGTAAATAAAAGTCGAAATAAAATAAAATAAAACAAAATAAAATGCAATAAAGGGGGTAAAAACAGCAGGGACAACACAGCATCTTTGCCAATAACTATAACTGTTCCCATGAATACGAAGCGCTCTTTCAGCGTACCAGGTAGCTAACATAATGAAACTTGAAGAAAAGATCGGCGTAAGAAAACAGAACCCCAACAACCAACTAGTTTTTAACAAAATCAAATACATATAAAGCGCTCAAAATCACTCTTCAAGCTCACTGAGAGGTCTACTTGAAAAGAAATTCATAGTCTACAAAGTGAGCTTAAGATGACCGCGTTCAGCACCACTTAGATAGCCACCAACCATTTCAGCCCTAAAAGCTCAATCTGAGTGTAAATACTACATGCATCTTACTCCTGAAAAACATTAACCTCAAGATCTAGACAGCCACTTCCAGGCCAACATGAAAGGTCTGGGCTGAAATGAAAGCCAACAGAAGCACCTTACCAACCATAAAAGTGCCAAGCAGACGTTTCGTTCCGCCACTAATAAATTTAACTTTGCATTGCAAAACAGTCTAAGTTTATAGGCTCAATTCTATACGCCTGAAAAACAGTTTAAATGAGAAACCCGGTTGGTTTCTGTTATAGCATTTTAGTCATAACTAATCCCTGATCAACATACAGTAGCCCAGCAAACAAAATCCCATAAGAAAACAGTGAAACTTAAGTGACTCAAAACGACCAAATTAAGTTGTAACACCCCTCCACCATATTTATTGTTATTCAGATACACAAAAACACTGCAAACTTCAAAAAATTACCACTTTGAAACTCTACACAGATCCCCTCACTGCTCATGTGTTCCACGGTGAAAAAGAAAGTCTCAAAAAACAGGGATAAGAAATTCTATGGTTTGAAGGGTCGATAAGAGGCATCGCATCCAAGTGGCACCCCAACAAATTTGGCAAAGAATAATTTCTGTAAATTCAGAACATTTGCTTACTTACCTTTGAAAATGCATCCGCCTGCCTCGTATCGATAAGAGGGTTGTGATACAAATTTTTGAGGAGGACTGTCTGTGAAAATGAGGGCATGATATGCGTACGAGAACACTTTTCACCATGTCGACAGGCACCAATTTTAAAATAGAATGAGCAATTTACCTGAAACAAAAACTTTCGATACTTTACCTATTAACCTTTTAAAAGACACTTATTACTGTTATTGTTATTATTATTACTATTATAAGTCATATTAGTTACATACCGAGAAAAAACCATTAAATACACAAATAAAGCCTTGAACACACCTTATCCTTTTCTGTACCGTATATAGAAGCAAGGTACTCAGCTCCAGACATCTGATGGTTCGCCATTGCTGCAGTAGGATTTGAAGATCCAACTTGAACAAAAAGTAACTAAGGTGACGCAAAAACTTATTTAATGATAAAAGTGAACTTCGCAGGTGTAAGTATCAGTGATATTTTCGAGCCCTGACAATAATAAAAATAAAAAAAATCAGATTGAACTAGTTTTTTAATTCAAATTACCGCTTACATAACTCATCCCAGTCAAAAAGCTGTAAGAGAATACTAAGAAAAGCACAGAAACAACAACCTTTTTATGCCTTCCAGTCATTTCACTTGAATCTGCCTATCTCCAAAGATAGCAGTAAACTGTAATAGACTCTTAAATATTTTTTATAAAAGGTAAAAAAGAACGTAGGATCTTCCCCTACTGTCATCAACACTTCTCTGATACCCCATTCTTCTCCTTCAATATACAGTGCCAAAAACTACTGATTCATTGTTTTATTATTCTTTTACTCACCACTGTCAGCACCGTCTCAACAGTACAGTGTAACGAGCATATCGACCTTATACCAAACCCTCCAAAAAAGACAAAATTTTCTCTTCTAGCTGTCTTAAAATAAAAGCAAAAACAAAGAAAAAAAAGACTGAGAAGCACCTTTTAGCCACCCACCGTCAATTCAAGAAAACATAGCTTACTAAATAAATTGGAGACGCAAAGTGTTAAAAAAAATCTTTCCAAATGCAAAACCTACAAGAAAAAAAGAGCAGCAATAAAAGATAAACCAATAAACCACTTTTAACCCACTTAAATAGGCCCTTTCCTCCTTGTCGTTTTAACCCCCAAAAGACCAATCACATTATCGCTCTGGTCGTCATCTTTATCAAAAAAGCAAAGAAAAGCTTGTACAAATACAAAATAAGGAGCGTAACACATTAACAGTCTTAAATCAATTTTATATACATGAATTACATCAAGTTATTTCATCGAATGAATCCACCAAATACAGAAAACCATTTAATAGTTCTAATAGTATTTAATAGTTCACTGTCACGTACAAAAAAAAAAAATTCATTATAACAAGCAAACTCCAGATAAAAAAGATTAACAGCGATGAAGAAAATCAAAATTGTACCTTCGGCCACCGAACGTGTTGGAGCAAACAAATAACTGCCTTTTTACTTAGAAAAACTATACGGAATTAGAACTGCAACTATAAATCCAACAAAAGAAACATATTCCTGAACCACCTGCCAACGTGACGAAACAAACAAGTCAATGAAAAAAGCAAAAAAAAAAAAGCCAAAGTCATCAAGCAACCCTCTTCCGTACCGATGATAACCCAGAAAATATACCATTACGTAAAACCTGCACTATACACACTGAACTCCAAGAAAAAGATCAATACGCAACCGGCACGCTGCTATACAATATCATTTGCGCTGTAAGTGCAAAATTTGAAAATTTCAACTATGGCAGCTCAATTGCCGCCTGCTTATTGCCAATCATTCCAGTTATTCTGCAAATGGGCGAGAGTCCAGCTTAACTGTTTTCAAATTAACTCCTTAATTCGCATATACATCTTTAGACATGATCCTATAATCTTCTTGCCGATAACAATATCTTTGCTACCAATAATAAGTTTAAGACACCACGGCAAGCGTCATTTTCTCCTCTCTTTGGCTTTGGATGTTTTGAATAAAGCGAGTAATTGGTTAGCAGAGGAGAATCATGGATGTTGGGCATTAAAGAAATAGTCAAAAAAATTAAACAGCGTTCCTGCAAGGAAATGTTATTGATAATAATCATAACTACAGATTTTGTTTTTATTCGCACTGTAGTACGTTTCTTGAGCGGTCTTTTTAGAATTAACGAGTTAGACAAATTATGCTTTTAGTTTGCTCCTGTAAATTTTTAAGTTGTATAACTTTTTTTCTGGTTTTTTTTTTTTCTACTTCATACAGCTTACCTCAAAAATATGTACCGTCCTTAGCAATTGACAGTGGTATATCCAGTAGATGACATTTCTTATACTCCTCCGTGTACTGACGAGTAACAACGGGAACAGTGTAATCGAAGGTAAACTAGCATTCACGAATATAAGCAAAACTTTTACAATTTTGATGTGCAAAAACTTTAGGTTTTGTTTAGTGCCCTGTATTTATAAGTAATTCAGGTAAGAAGGAATCAGTACAATCCCAATGCAGCATTCTCAGAGATAAGGGTTTTAAGCACAGTAACACTGCGATTTACTCGTTGTAAGATTCTGACCCAAATTCTACTCAGTTAATCATTTAGAAAAAGTTTGTGTTTATTGCAACTTGTTTTGAAACCCTGTCTCAGGGAAAACGCTTGCAAAAATAAGCACGAGCTACTTGCCAAGCAAGTAGCTGTACCAATAGTCACATTTTTACTGGAGAAAAGTATACTGGAGAAATACTAAAATTGTTTAAATTTATTTTTTAGCCTTCCAGGGGAGAGCTCACGGATTTTGCTCGGAGTATTTTTAAGGAAAGATAATTGGGTGATGTTTATAAAGATGGGCATAAAGAGGGAAAAAAAGAAAGAAAGAGATTTATAAGACAGCAAAATTGACGATCGAGAATGGTTCTGATCTATTCTTATCCACGTAGAGACGAGGTGAACAGAACACTCGCTTATATACAGTTTCATCGTCTGGCGCCTCATGATGATTGATTTAGTGCATGGTCACAGTTTTAAAATTGATAACTGCTTAAGCACCTCTTTGTTCATTAAAGCTGTCTCAGCTCTTCAATAGCGCTGTTTTCACAGTTCAAATTGGGTGAGTGGTTTACGGCCGAGGAGAATCAGTTACAGGAGTTCAACTGCTTTACTCGAAGCGAGCATTCAAGAATAAGAGAAAAAATAATAATGAAAATGAAGTTAAATTAAATTTCTTAACTGAAACATAGGTTCCCACTTCCAAAGATAACTTTTTTTTCTAATTTCTAAAGCAATTAACTGATTAAAAGGGCACAAACTTTAATGTTATCAAAGTAGTTATCAAATCAAGACGTTATTATTACTATTATTAATATTAAGTTCATCATTAATTAAACTATTGCAGATTATCAAACATATAGTTATAAATTTATGTACACTAATAATAAATCGTTTACCGCAGTAATTTTTGGAGTTTATGCTACCCAAAGAAGTGGAGAAACGATTTCGAGTCATAAAAAAACTCAAAACACAATCAGAACATTTATTGTTATTTACTCACAATTTATTTTCTTTTAGGGTTTGAACTTTTTTATAATTCTTTTCAAAAATTATCGTGCTAACCGCACCTCCCTGCGAAAAGAAACGATTTCAAATATTACAAAAGTAATTAGTGCTCAGTAATTTCGAATCACTGCAGATAACCAGAATTGGAATTGTAACCTTGTTAGTCAATCTAATTATTCCTGGAGTAAGGTTCAATTAATTAGTGCAGTAAGTATAGCAGCATTTAGAAAGAAACTGTTATAATTACAAACTGTTGATTCACCTTTCTTTTTCGAGATTCTCTCAAGTAAACTACCAATGAATTAGAAAATTACTGGTAGTATTTGAGCATCAGACAATGAACTGCAGACAAAAAAAAAAATTGAAACCGAGGCGTTTAACAAGTTATCATGTTTATTTTACAATCACGATTTTTTATAACATCTCGCGTTAACATACAATATGTTCGTTGAAAGGTTTACTAGCTGTAAGCCAGGGAAGCGTACTATGACAATGACAACTGAGTGGGTAGTCTTATCACTTTATTCTTACTCTTACTTTGGTTCTAAAGCTTCACTAATTTTATTTTAGAGTGATTTTCAATAATAACTTACTAAAATTTACATAATGACATCGTTTTTAAGAAAACTTAAATCTATCTACAATGTTAGACAGAATACAGTGTAAAACAAAGTACACCTTAAAAGAGCTTTACATTAAACAAAAGAGTCTTCCAAGGTCAACTTTGTTTTCATCAGCAGCCTCCTGAATCTCATTGGAGTCAGCTGCTGAAAAAAAAAACAAAAAACCAGAAAGCAGAGGTTCAAAAGCAACATGATTCAATCGAGTAAGTCAGTGTCAGTGTAATTCATCTGTAGCAGCTTCTTATCTGATAGAAAAATAACATTCTAGGCGTTCTGTATAAAAATACAAACATTAAAATCAGCGTTTAAAGGTGGTAGACAGTGTAAATCTAGCGAAATTACGGTTTTCTGTGAAAAGCAATATTAGGCATTATAAAATGAATTTGTTACATGACAACGGTTTCCAATTCGACTATCTGATTCCGGTGCTGATTTTTCAAGTTCTTTTGGAACTCAACTGGTGTTACTTCTAATGCAGTAAAAAATTTTCATAAATACTAGTTGCTTTTGGCAAAGTTAGCCAAAATAAATATAAAAAGAGGACAGAAACATCAGAGAATATGTTTTGCCGGGAAAAAAGTGCAGCAATGAAACTTGTGAAAACACAAAACGAGGAATTTAATAGTCAGTAACAAGGTTGTCAAGTGGACAGAAAAAAGGATAACGTTAGACGTTAATAGAGTATGCTAGAGTACAGGTAAAATGCTTGTTAAATTCGTAGAAGAAAATAAGCAGAAAAGTTTTATTCTCTTTCATTTTTTCTTTTTTATGACAATTAAAAAGATAAAGCGATCAAAGCTTTTTAACTGATAGTGATAAATACCTATACTAAAATGGATAATTCAAATCAACAAAAAACCACAACAAAATTTTCGCTTTGTTGAACCGTTTGTCTTTGTTACTCTTAGAAAAGATGAAAATCAACGAATATTTAATGGTTGAAACTTTGAAATCAGCACAACTGTGTGCATAATAATTTCCTTCATTTGCTTGAAGTTGTTAAATGTATAATTAACTACAAGCTATAATACTTCAGTTGCAGAACAAATTTGCACAATAAACGTACTTTTTTCTTTTTATTATCATTTGACACCACTGGAGAAGAGTATTATTTAGCAAGTATACAAAGCAGTATTCTAGCTTTTCAGAATCTTTAGCGTTGAAAGAGTATAGAAGAGACGGAATCAACAGTCGGTTCAAATTAAGTTGTGCAGGTTGCTTTTCTACTACTTTTTACTTTTTCGTAATTTATATACCTGGTTTTTTATTATAATTTATAACCAGAAGGTACAAATTAAATGTTTTTTTTTGTCAGTATATTAACCAATAACAATTAAAGCTGTCTTATTGTTTAGGAAAGTAAGCACTATAATTAGATAAAAATGAAATCAAATCAAGAGTTTTTTTTTGTTAGCTCAGCGGTAACAGATATGCGTCATTGATACCATAAGAGTCTTACACTTGTCTGGCGGCTTACTGCTCAAATTTCATCGCATGTCTTCCTTGGTATGGTTTATATTACGAAATAGTGAAATTTTTTTATTGTTTTTTCTACCTTAACAGAGTTTTCTATTGATTCTGCTGAACACTGTCAGCATTTTTAACCCTTACTTTGCTTTTTACTTGTTTAAGCGCTTCTTAAAACAAAAAATTTCATTTTAAGGATGTTGAGCATTATAAGTAAGGTACCGCTGCAGATGAACCAAACGCAATTTATTTGCGAGCGACATCGCAAAGCGTGTCGAACTGAGGTATCGGACACTTTTAAGCTGGTAGATTTAAATATGTCATGAAAGGTCCGTGTCGTAACGGTCGTACTATAAGATTTAGTAGATATCCTAGCCTTTTTTTTTTTCTTGACAAAAACTAAAAGAAATTTTGAAGAGTAATATATTATTATATAAACAGTTTAAAATGAATGATGACCTGCAATATGTACTAATTTGTATAACAGCCATGTAAAAGATTGTCTGAAGCTGACAGCAGAGATAGATCTTTTTTTAATTCCGTAACTTAAAAGGCATATTTTCACTTGAACAATAGCCCAAAACAATATAACAAGAATACAGAAAACAAAACTACAATAAATAGCAAAACAATAGTTCAACAACAGGAGACCTTATTATTTCACAACAGTTTTTTGAAAAAAACCTTAAGAAAATGATAGAAAAAACTAAATAGCAAAAGTTGTTGTTCTTACTGGACAGTGATCGTAAAAGAGATGTTTTAGAAACAGTGGTTTTGGTAAAAACCCGTAAAATTTATGACGTTTAAGAAAGTGTTGGCCAACAGTTATTGAGGCCGTTCCGTCTTCGACACGTAAAACTAAAGATAGTTCAAAATCTGTTCCATTCTGGTTGATCACAAACGTTGTAGGACGACTAGTACAATAGGTCAGTTGGGTTTCTTCAGCTAATTTAAGGCACAAGATGTTATAAAGAGTCAGATCACAGTCAATTGTGCTATCTTTGCTTCCAGTCAACTGAAATCGATATTCGTTGTCACATACAAACATATGACTCTTCCCTTCGCACCAAAGCTAAATTAGTGGTTTTAAATAACATCTGATAAAATTTTTTTGTTTTGACAGAAAAGCGAACATTATCAAAAAAGATATTTTAAACAGACGGATAAGCGAAAAAGTTGTTAAGAATATCACTTACCTGTATCGCAACCCAAAGTTCATCAAATGTTAAAATAGGTAATACAGAATCTTTACTGTCGTTGCATGAAGGAGACAGAGCACTTGTTATCTGTTGTTGTGAAAAAATAGCAGAATAAATTTTGTTCTGATCAGCTGATGATTTGTTGGACTCGAGCATCTGCCGATATGTTGGCTTATCATAATAATCAAATAACAGACGTATTCCATAATAAAACTTATGAATATAGGCAACTAGTGGAATACTGTGAAAATCATGCCTCACGCAGCAAATCCAGAATGTCTTAGAATCGTGAATTCCATGGCCAGTCTTATAATGTTTTAGACTGCCATTTTCTTGCAGCTCTTGAATCCATCTGTCAACCGCTTTGTCTGGAAACTCTTCAATTTCCCGGTCAACAAAAGACAGATACAAAAATTCTTGTTTGCAAGGACAGCGAGCTTCTAGCCAAGACTAAAAAGAAAATAAAGTTTGATTTATGTCAAGTTGTTACATGTTTGGAAGAGACAAAATCTTTCAGTTTTTCAGTACTCATTTTCATTTTTGAATAGAACAAATACAATCACGGAAATTGTACCTGAATAAGCAGACGTACTAAATCGAATGCACTGGATGGTTTCAGGTCAATCTTGATACTGATGTTACTTTCTAAGCCGTCTAAATCTAGCATCAAGAATTTTAAAAACTGCAATTGCGTGTCCGTAGATTTCCTCTTAACGCTTTCGTACTCTTTCCAAGTAATTTGTAAGTGTTCAGTAAACTCAGACAACAATGACGGCTTGCATGCTTCAATTTGTACCTGAAAAAACATTTGATCACTCTACTTAACAAAATAAAAATTGAACAAAACCACAAATGTTTTAAATAACATACCATATTTACAGATACTCTACGATCATTGTTGAAATCAAATTTTGACCGAAAGATAAAAAGCACTTTACGTGCTCTGAAGTTTATAATCAGTTTGGCGATAAGTCGTTGAATGTCCTCAGTTATTTGCGAAAAATCTTCATATCGAATTAATATAATGCTCTGTCTTGCTTTTGGAAATAATTGCTTCAGTCCCAGATTAATCTTCTGGTTCGATTCCAAAAGATCTCTGGTGCTATATTCTCTGCAGTTTTACGATATAGTCAAATATTTGCCAAACAAACGATTTTTTCTGAACATGTAATTTTCATCTATTTCTAATCTTTCCAAAAGTGATAAAAATTTTGCTTGTTAATTATTAATGATAAAATTCTTGAAAGATAGGCAATAAAAACAGGTGTTGAAGTTGAGGAATCACCAGAATTTACCGTATCTGTATTTCGTCGAAGTGTTGTGACAGTTGTTCCCAAAAGCGTTCGAGACGCCTACAAATTTTGAAAATAAAGTTAAGATTTTGATTACGCATTTAGTACAATCTAACTTATAATTTTAGCATACCTCGTGGTTCAATATAGTTTCATTGATCAAAAACACTGAATGCTGCTATTTTAGTGCAGTTATCGATTTCAAGGCCAGTTAGACATTTTTACACCAAAAAACTTCAATTTTTTGAATGCCAGTAGTTTAGCTGTTCAGAGTTCTTAAGTTGCTTTGGCAACCGCAAAAATATCATGGGTTTTAACGTAGAATAACAAATTCTGCACAAAGGAATGTTGAAAGCTTAGTGAATTATCAAATTTTGTTGATTTAAAACGTGCACAAATGAGTCCGATATTTCCAACAAGTATTCCACTGTAAAGCGTTTTTGTAGAAAGTAGCATTGCACGGTGTCCTTTATGTTTGATACGTTGATACTGCAATATTGACTAGATATTACTGTCCTTTTACTTTGCTCAGCAAATTATAAAATGTGTTTATTATTGTAGACCGTAAAATCTACTACAGAGTCACTGAAAAAGTGTCCTTTTTCTCTTCTCTGCTACCGTTTACCAAAGATGGAAAAAAAAAAAAGAAAAAAAAATTTTGACTTTCTTATTCAAATAAAGCAGTTTTTTGTGTACAGAAAAAATTAATAAAAACGACGAATCAATTCACTGACCAAATTTCCTGAGTTCTTTCTTCATAAATGTTACAGAATTTTTTGACATAATAATTGTAAAGATGACAACATCTTGAAATACGCGACAAGGTTAACAAATCACAGTGCTCTAATATTATTGCGAATACTTCATAAGGTAAACTTGAGCCCATCTAAAGAAAGAAATAAGCTCTGTTCCGGTACTATAAATACGAGCGAAGAAAAAAAACTATGTTAAGGATAAGCGCAAAAATTCCGAAAATTGTTTTGCTACCCAGTTAATATCGGTTTTTTTAGTGTGACGCTTTTTTCTTTGATTAAACGAGTGCTAAAAGCAGTTACTGATTTTTCTGTGTATAAAGTAAGCTAATAAGCAACACTGCAGTAACATATCAAAGACATTTTTTTAGTTTTGATTTTAATGAGGAAAGAAAAAAACGATTCAAAAAGTACAATGTAAAAGTAAAGATAAATGAACAACTCAGAGGATAAATGATAGTTGAATTATAAGTCAAATCGAGTTAAATCTTTCAAATCCAAAAGCTTAAACGTATGTCGAACAGGCATATACACAGAAAAAAGCGTGGAGAAGAAATAGGAAAATGAGAAAAATAGGAAAAAAGTAGAACTAAACACTGCTAAGCGTATTATTATTCGCCTAACGATCAATTTAACTCGTCTGTTGTGCCATTGCACTGATCATCGGCTGTATTAAAGGCATCTGGTTGAACAGTTTAGTTTAAAGTGCATTTGGCCGACTTTGCCCAGCGGGAAAACCGTTAAATTATGTTTCTTTAAAAAAATTGATCG